CAACATCAAGATGCATGGACATGAGAAAAAAATGGATTGCAAGTTTTTGAAATAATGTATTTTGTAACGTATTTTTGGACCGTCTTTTTTCAAGAGTTTCAAGTTTCATAGATACGTCGATCTACACTATTTTTTAAGCTTTAAGCTTTATAAATAAATATGAAAATATATTTTGAGGCTATCACAAAGATTTCCAATATTGAAACCACATTTCTCGACACTATTGAAGGTAGGCTCTAATTTGATTGTTTAGAGCCTAGGCTCTATACAAACCGCACCCATATGTTAATCACCTTGTTTCCATGCTATCCTACATAAAGATTTTTGTGTGTCTGTGTGTGTATATACACAAATTTTTATATAGTGGTTTGTTTGCATTGGTTTTTCCATTAGATCGTGTTTGTTTGGAAATTTGTTAGGTATTCATTTTAAAACATAGCTGGTTGAGTATAGTGTTTTATTGTTGGCTTGTCTTCTATGTTTAGTTCAAGAGAAAAGCACCATGTTGAGAATAATGTGAAGGAAAGATGAGAGAAGATTCATATTTCTATTATTCACTAAGGGTATGACCCTCAATAGAGCAGAATGGCAGACCAGAATTCGTGTAGCCGATCCCAATTAGTTTGGAAAAGCCGATCCCAAATTAGTCGGAAAAAGGCTTAGACGATGATGAATAAAGACAAATTGTAATTGGGCTCGAGTTTGGAGTAATTTTAGTTTCGTATAAATCTAACTTATTTTATGTTGGGTTGAATGAAAATCTTAGGCATAGTGAAGAGACCATATAGGTTTAACCCAACACAAATCATCATATAGGTTTAACCCAACACAAACCATCATATAGGTTTAACCAACCACCAAGGCACCATTCTGTTTCTTTATTAATTTCTTTTAGGAGTGATAAGGGGCAGCCTGCAACGCTTGGATGAGGTGGTGTCTTCTTTTCTCTATGTATTTTTGTTCCTTTTTATGTATTTTATATTTTTTGTAGGGTGTAACCGTTGGAATTCTTAGTTTACCTACAAAAGAAACCCAAAACCCAATTCCAAAATCTTAAGTTGTAAGTTGGGTGACCTAAATAAATATTTTGTGCTGTCAAATATTTGAAGTTGAGCAATTTTATTTAGAATGCCCCCTGGATTTGGTCAGTAGGGATTCCATCCTAACCATCAAATTAGAAATTTGACAGGTAATAGGATGGCGATTAATGAACAGTGATATATTCGTTATTGTACAATGGGTAAGTGCCATCCTACTCCCTGTCAAATTTTTAATCTGAAAACTTTGGAGAGGGAATCCCTCCATAAACAAATATAAGGAGCCTCCTACATGATTGTTTCTCTTTTGTTTTTTAGCAATGGAATCATCTGAAAAGTTTGGAGACGGTATCCCTCCATAAACAAATATAAGGGGCCTCCTACATGATGGTTTCTCTTTTGTTTTATAGCAATGGAATCATCTGATAAGTTTGGAGAGGAAATCCCTCCATAAACAAATATAAGGGGCCTCCTACATGATTGTTTCTCTTTTGTTTTATAACAATGGAATCATGATGTACTATTGTAAATTCAGAAATTGGAGTTCGTATGTGCTATTAATCTGATGAAGACTCTTGTTATAGGAACTGCTTGAGCTGTTGGGGATGCCTATTTTGAAAGCAGAATGTGAGGCTGAAGCACTCTGTGCTCAGTTGGATAGTGAAGGCCGTGTGGATGCTTGTATAACAGCTGACAGTGATGCCTTTCTTTATGGAGCAAAGTGTGTGATAAAATCTCTCCAATACAATTTTAAAGTAAGGCTTATACTTCTTTCTCAGACAGTGATTTGTGTACAGGCTTATACTTCTTTCTCAGACAGTGATTTGTGTACTTTGAAGAGTTTTTGAAATCATTCTGCTGATAAGTCTTTTTTCATATATGACTGAAGTGCTTGCATTCATTATTATTTCTCCTAACTATTTAGGTTTCTCTCATCTTAGTGATAAATAAAAAAGGAAATTGGATTTTTTTATGAGGGGTCATCACAGAAAGAATATCTTATTCCTTTTAGCTGTCACTGTCTTACATTTTACAGTTAGAATTATTTCCTGTAAGTAATCTCATTTTGTAAAATCTGGATGCTGGGTTCATAGAAATAAAATGGACTAATTTTTTTTTTTCTTTTTTTTCTTGAATTCCTTTTGGATAATCAATAATTTGAGTTCGTTTTAGAAACGTGACCATGAAGTTACATCTAGTACATTATACCATTGAAGTTGTTTGGGACCTTCAATTAAAGGTTTATCGTGCAGTGTTTCTTTTCATGTTTGCGTGGAAAATTGGTCAAGGCTATATCTTCTGATCTTCATTATTTCAGATTGATCAACTATTCTCTATTTTCTAATGTCCCATTAAATAATTCAAGTTTCAACTGTAGCAAATGAATAGAGCTCACGTTATTGTCTGTCTTGTCCAGCAATAATTTCTTCTTTTTTCTTTCACAGTTAAGAAACTTGAGCAAAAGTCGTCCTGTTCTTAGTAGTGTTTAACCTTTGTGGAGGTGCTCCAATCAAAATTTTAGTATTTGGTTGGTGTTTGCTCCCTAAACCAATGCTAATGGAACGCCATCTTATACCTTGCTCTCCTTTTTCTCTCCCATGAATGACATCGACATTTTAGATTAAGTGTATGCAATACATTTAGGCTTCAGATATCAAGTGCTTAGGTGGGATAATGTCGATGAGCATTCAATTTATGTGAATCAATAATTAAAGTGCATTTCATTGTTCTGGTGTGTATAGAAGATGTATCTCTCTTAAGTCAGAAACCGTTCTCCTATTCAATGTAATTGGGACGTAAAACATTTGTGCATGTGTGTGCACCCACATATGTAGACTAAGAACACAAAAGGCATTGTTTATTTCCCTTTTCCTTTTTGACATAAGCTTGGTTTTGAATCAGCATCTTTGTGTTCTTCTTTCTCTCTTATTGCTATGGAATGTGGGATTTTGATCAGCATCTTTTGATGTGACACTAATAGATTCAGATCACTAGGCACTGGGATTCACCCCAAAGCATGTGCAGGTTAGGTGGACATGTGAAAACTAAATCTTTATGGCCAAAACAATTGTAGCATCACTGATCTATTTTAGCGAAACAAACCCAAATATCAATGTTGAGTTGTATGACACTGATCTACATAGGCTATAGTCTGTAGGGCATGATTGTTGAGGAATGAAGGGGATAAAATCCTTGTGGAATTGAATTCGACATCTCTTTTATTTGAAACATTTGTGGGTATTGAGTCTCTATTCACATTTCATAATGGCCGTGTTATCAAAGGCGGTGAAGTTGATGCCTAGCCGCCAAGAAATGCCATTGATAACACACGTCCCATATTTATTAACCTTACTGAGAGAGGATAAAAAGTAGTTGAAACTAAATATAACCGTAAATGGGAAAAATTATTTCTTTGTTTGTAATTGCTGCTTGTATTTGCTTCTCTCACCCTGCTGCCATGCATTCCTTTGGCTGCTATTTTAGTTAACATTCTTGTTTATATGGTTTATACCCATTTATTTTGTGCAGGAACGTTGTGTTGAGTGCTACCAAGCAGCAGACATAGAAAGTCGTCTTGGATTGAAGAGGAAACAAATGATAGTCATAGCATTGCTAGTTGGGAATGACTATGACATGCGAGGAGTTCCAGGGATAGGGTTTACTACTGCAGCTCGCTTTGTCCAGTTGTTCCATGATGATGAGATTTTAGATCGGTACTAGTCTCCCATTGGCCATATAGTTCATTTATACTTACTGTATAAAAACAAAAGAAAGACTCTGGTTTATGTTTTTAGTATAAGCCATTATTAACCTTTGCTCATTTCAGTAAAAGTTTGTAATATTTTATCAAAAGCATTTGAATGCAAAAAGCTCATCACCTTGGTTGCAAATCTTTTTTTTATTTAAGGGATTTTTAATCGTTTGCCAGGATCAATGATTAAAAATATATATAAAATAGAAAGCTGCTATGTAATCATACGACACCTTTTTTCCTTTTTATTTAGTTTCTTGTATCATTCCTCCTGGCAAATGAAGGAATGTGCTCTTGACCAGAAATGATTTGCAGTAGCAGGTAGCAGTTGTATTAAAAAACTATCGCTGATGGATGTTATTGACATTATCACATTATTTATATGTGCAGGTTACGTGATCTAGGAACAGGGAATGCGTCATGCCTTTTGGACAATACCAAGTTATTCGAAGACTTAGGGGAGTCTAATTCAGCTGTTAGCCCAACCAAGAAAAGAGTTTCTCATTGTTCAAATTGTGGACACCCTGGTACTAAAGGTATTCATATGAGGCTTGCCTGTGACTATTGCATTCACAATGGTCTTGAAGGCTGCCAACCAAAGCCTCAGAACTTTACCTGTGAATGCAGTCACTGCATTGAGGTATATTGACTTCTTTCAAGCTGGTGAAATTGTTGCTTTTTTTACTTAGCAAGCTTGTCACTCATAATATGGATTTGCTTTGTAACTGTGCCAAATCTTGCAATTTGGACTAGGAACTGAAATTTTTTCAAATTCGACTTCATTTCAACTCGGTTTTGTTATCACCCACGTCAAAGCTGAAACCGGGTAGGATTGGCATTATACCCTCAATTTAGGATGAAACCAACTGAAACTTGGAAACAATCGCGGACTTAAAATAACGATATCTGAACTTATTATATCCTGTCATTTTGTGATTGATGCCCTTTTCGAGTATTTTTTATTAAAAACTCTACTGAGAATATTCTAAATTGAAGTTTTTTGGCCACCATTCTTGCATTTTGTTGAACTCTTCATTTACAATAGAATTTCAGATGACCTCTTAACTGATATCTGAATTTGGGTTTCTGCCCATGCTCAAAACCATTTTGTAATTCAAATTTGTTTTAAGTTTGATTTCTATCAGATTTTGTATTTCGTGTTTCTCCTAGAACTAGTTATATTCTGTGCATTGCACATGTAAATTACAACCAAGTGGAAAAGTTCATCATTTTCTGAACGTTGCAATCTGGAAAGGAAGTGGAAAAGTTCATCATTTTCTGAACATTGCAATCTGGAAAGGAGAGAGAGAGAGAGAGAGAGAGAGAGAGAGAGAGTCAGAGACAGAGACAGAGACAGACATATTAAAGGGAGCAAAACAATAGTCATTATATCAACAGGTCAACCCTCCCAAAATGTAATTTGATCATGGGTGGAAACATTTCCTTCAATTAGTATGATTTGGCTCGTCTTCCAGTAAATCAAAGTTTGGGCAGTTTGGAGTTGGCTAGAAGCATTTCTGTGTTTTTCAGACATACAAATAGAATGGTTTGGAACAAGCTTTACAACTAAGATGACATTGTGGAATGGAATCCGAGGCAAGATGAACTCCTAAAAGGGATCCATGCTTATATCACAATTTAACTTGGGAAACATCACCTTTCTACACAAAATAGTCTTAACCAATACAAGCTAGTCTCAACCAAAAAACTCTGCACTTTCTATGAACTTTTGATTATTTGACTTCTTGAATGTTTCATGCAAGAAGTAAACATGTTGAGGTTGGAGCCCTTATTGTACATGTTGGCATTGTGTGTATGTATAAATTATCCTTTATTTCTGCTTGTTATTTTTCCAGCCGGCATTTTCATTTTCTTAAAATGAAAGCATTATATTTATTTTATTGGGTTTTTATGCCAGGAAAGAAAGAGCAAGGATCAGAAGAAATGCATGAGTTGGAGAGAAAAAATTTGTACAAAGATAGCAACAGTTGGGAACTTCCCAAATGAAGAAATCATAGAAATGTTTCTCTGTCAGAACCATGGGATTTTCAATGGTATGTTTTCCATTTTTGGATAGAACTTTCTGATATTCATGACAGACTTAATTTATCAAGAAGCATATCTAGACGGAATTGGGTAAAAGAGGCAAAGCAGTAGGGAGCACTTCATACAAGTTATATTTTGGGCGTAGTGACCAAGATTTGCATAAGAGTACGCAGAAATATTATGGAAATCCATGAAACTAGTCAATATTGATGGCTCAATACAGATGAAATATGCCTAAATAACAGCGATGCATTTTTTTTTCTGATATTCATCCATAAAGGAAGTAAATCGAACCATTTTGCAGGGATCGATGGATCTACTCTTTCATGGAAAGCACCAGAAACTGAGCTTTTAGTGGACTTCTTAGAATATCATCAGCACTGGAGTCCTTCACTTATTCGCCAAGGAATGCTTCCACTTCTCTCTACCATATTTCTTCGAGAGATGGCTTCTAGGCATACAGAGGGTCTACTACTTTGTGACAAGTATGAATTTCATTCGATTCAGAGAGAGAAAGCAAGATATGGCCATCCATTTTACGTGGTGAAGTGGAAAAGGGCAGGTTCATTTCCAATCAATCTTGAGGATTTTGGGCCAAAAAATGCGCGGATTGTTCATGAACAAGATGAAAATATAGACGGTGGAGATCTTATCGATCTGCTGGATGACAATCCCGACGATCATCAGATCATAACATTTAATGGATGTGAGTTTCTTTCCACTGATGAGGACGTGGGGCTGGTGCAGGCTGCCTTTCCTGAAATAGTCGAGATATTCCTTAAAGGAAAGGTATTGCTTATTTATTTCTTGACCAGACGAACTTATCTTTGTGCCAGTTTTTCACTAAATTTTTGGCTGTAAACATCACTACAGCACTAACAAAGTGTGTGTGTGTGTATTCTAATTCTGTTTGTGTGTGTGTGTGTGTATTCTAATTCCTGACGCGGTGTTGTATTCTTTAGTGAATCCTCTTATATGAGCACCAAGAGAAACTTAGATATAGCATGTTGAAACCCTCTGTTTTTCTATTAGTAACTGTGTTTCATTAAGTGATGAACTAACTTGGGTGTACAAAGTTACAAATTTGATACAACAATTGTGGGGCTAAAGGGGACCAAAATTGATACAACAATTGTGGGGCTAAAGGGGGGGATTAGCACTAGACTCGGGTGATCACTAGAAAGGATCCCATGATAGCATGTTAACTTTGAGCCCCTATTAATATCGACGCAACCAAAGAGAGCTCTTGGGCCGTGAAACTCTTCAATTCCATGTGAGCTCCTTTTATGAATGTGATCGCAGTGCTTACCATTAGATTGTACCTATCTGCAAAGGTCTCTTAGATGCATACACATGTTCATGCATGTATATACGCATACATGCTTATTAAATACATGCATGCATAAAACATTCATTCATATGTACATACATGCATAGTAGCAGTATTTCATGATAGGAGCAGTATCTCATGATATGTATGTTCTCTAGTATTTCATGATATGTATGTTTTCTATAAATGTATAATTCATGTAAATTTGGACAATAATTTTGTGTAATGTTGCTTCTCCCCTTCTTATTTATTATGAAATTGTGTTCAAACAAATTTTCAGTCCACGTTTAGAGAAATAACGTTGGTTATTATGGATGTGTGTCTAAATGAGTTATGAGTACCTCAATCCATATATTTCTTTTCTTCTACATCAGTTGGGCATAAATTAGAACTACATAGATATTTCATATGTTTTAACCATTGGAGAGAGAGAGAGAGAGAGATTATGTTTTGGCTATCATGGATTTTCTATACACTCTGAGCAATGCGCTTCGAGGTTACTTGGCAATGCCAATTCATTAATAGTCAATACTGTTTCACAGGATTGTGATTGTTAATAGTTAGAAAACAGGACTCTTCCATGTATAATAATCGAACCATCATGATTCTATTTTAGCATTCTCAACAGAGACAGAGACAGAGACAGAGAGAGGAGAGATTATTTTGGTTATTGCGGATGTTCTATATTCTTTGAGCTGTCCAAAGTCCATTTCTGTCCATTTGGTCTCTCTATTGCTTATAAATATGGAAACTATAAGACATTTTAAATTATGAGAGAACAACAGATAGAAAGGACTGATTAGTTCTTTTTGACAATGAAACAGGAAACAAAGAAAGAGAAATCCATGAAAAACAAGACAGGAAAGGAAACAGGTGACACCCAGAGGAGCATCACCGAATTCTTCAGAGTGACCAAGCCATTGATATCTCCAAAAAGTGGTGAGGACCCCATGAAGGGAGATATTGAGGAGAATTCCAGAGCTATAACGACTAAAAATTCAAAGAAATACAAGAGAAATTCTGGGGAGGGAGTCAGTGAGGAGAATTCCGGAGGTACAACGCCTAAAAATTCAAAGAAATACAAGAGAAATTCTGGGGCAATATCAGAAACAAGAAGTTCAGAGGACCGGACCTTCTCAAAGTCGGTTAGAAGACGCCTGCTTTTAGGTTAGGCCTCATTCAACAGTTCCTTTTTTTTGCCTCTTTTCATGTAAATATCAGAAAAAGGAAATCAAATTTTGAAGGAGAGGGAGAAGTGTGGATACAAGGTTGTGGGGGGGAGGGTCTTTGGTTTTTTCTGATTTTGGTGTTTTTTTTCATCTTTTTGTTAAGGTTATACCCAAAGTGGTGTGTATATCTGTAAATTCCTGGAAATTTTATTTAATTTAAATTTGGTTTTTATCTTTTCCCTTGTAAAAATTATTGAGTATAGTTACATATGGATTAGCCACATGATGCATGTGGCTACACTACTTATATGCTCAGCCGTGGTCCTGGATACTGGACAGCCGAGATGAAACATACTCAGCCTTCTGATGTCAACAATAGACGGTTGAGATTGCATGCAGTATACTATTTGTAGTGCTACATGCATCACATTATTCAAGGCCATTACTTATTGGAGCAAAAACAAAGGGAATTACGCACGTGCTACTTTGGATGGCTTATTTGCTTTTCTTTTTGGGGACATTGGTGGTCCCCTCTCTTTTTGATAATGTGGTCCCCCTTGGGTTGATATTGTTGACCTAAAATGTGACGGTTTATAAGTGAGAGTAGTATTTCCATAAAGTGTTATGACGATTGGATCCGGTCGTTCAACCAACCAATCAAACTGCAACCAATCAAGCGAGCAATGGTCTGATTTAAAGTAATTTTTAAATTTGAGTCCGATAAAATTAAGGTAGTTTTAACTGATTGGACAAACAGGCTTTGACTTCCCAAAGTGGCGATCATTTTTTAATAATTTCATAGTGGTTTGCACCGCTTGTCTTAATTAAATCTCAGCCTTTAAATTAATAAAATCAAGATTACTCCTTCCAAAAAAAAAAACACTATATTTCTATTTCAGTCAAACGATACACTTTTGTGTACGTAGAATCAAAACTTTGGGTTATACAATTACAAAGCCCCGCGTCCCGCACACAAGAAAAATTGTACGGCAAACTCAACTCAACTCATATAGAGTAACTCCAAAGTGCCATGTCAGCACCAAAGTCCACGTCATCCCATCTCGGCACCATATCGGCCGCCACGTCATCCGTCATGGCCCCCATCAACGTTCCCGTGTAGGGCCCATCAAATCCATAACAATCCTCATCCATGGGAAACACCAGACTCTCAGGCGAGGCCGCAGCCACCACACCGGAGCCCTGATTTTCCGGCAATGAGTCGGGCATGCCCCGGTCGAAAACCCCGTTCTCCGATGGCCGGAACTCCTCTGCCGCCAGAGCAGCAGCCCTTTGTATGTCGCGGGGCTCGCGTGAGTCCGGCCTCGGCAGCAGCCTCGCAGAGTCCGCGAAGTTGAGACACGCCGATGGCCCACGCAATGCCAAGGCGGCGACGTCGTGCGCCCTCGCCGCCATCTCGGGCAGGGGATAAGTCCCCAACCAAATTCGTGTTTTCTTATTCGGCTCTCGAACTTCGCATACCCATTTCCCGACGCTTCTACGTCTCACTCCTCTATAAACCGGGTGTCGGGTTTCTCTAAACTTCCGCCGCCCTGCCCGTCGCTTTGGGAAGGAGGACGCAAGCTTCGCAAGGCCGAGGTCCTCATCGGAAAATGCTCGGCGGCCAGAGTCCGACGAATTCTCCTGCAATGTGCTGCCAGAAATTGGAGATATCGGGCCGGAAACTTCAGCCTCCGGCAGGTTCACCGCACTGTTGAGGGGGCTTTCAGAGGCCGACTTGCCTGAAAACTTGTGGAATTCAGGTAAAAACCCAGAAGAATTTTCGCTTTCCAAGCTTCTTTTTTGGGTGGCTCCTCTCTCTAATGGAGAGGAAAACCCGCTAGCACTGCTGCTCTCCCCTGTGCAGCTCACAGAGCACTCTGCATCCACGGAGAATCGCGACCGCCCGACAGGGCTCCTCCCTTCCAACAATGAAGTGCAGCGCCGAAACCTCGAATTTTGGCCGGAAAACTTATTGTCCGGCGGGTCTGCAGCCACTTCTCCTTCACCACCAAAGCAAAAATTTGGCTGGAAATCCCACAAGCCAGAATAATCCCCATTTTCCGGCCAATCGCGCCTGAAATCCCAGTCAAAAGAGAGGAAGTCCATCGAATAAAAGACCAAGGACCCAAATACGTACTAAAAATAGAAATCTCGTTGAATTCTTCACTAAGGCAATGGGTTCAGTTTGTTTCCAGAAAAAGGAATGCACCGTTTTAAGTTTGCAGTGTTCAGGTTCGAGAGTCATATATATTTGATTTTTGTTTTTTTCGGACACGGTTCTGATGTGTCGGGTGACAGGCTGGAGAAGCCACGGAAAACATGGCGCGAAGTGGTGACTAGGATCCAGCTGTCTAGAGTTTGATAGACGGATTAGAGCACGTGTCAATTATTGATGACGTGGCAAACCGGGTGCTTTCTTCAGTGTGCTTCGAGTGGGCCCGTCAGTTCGAAGCCAAAAGTTTTCACGTACCACGGTCTAAGGGGTGACTGACTGAATTCTCGTGTGCTTTTGTTTTCTCTATTGTGCCCTAGACAAAACCTAAAATGGCAAGAGGGTCCTCCGAGTTTTTAAAAAGAAATTGGTTGCTGTATAAGTCGGTGGCAGGGATTGCAAGGAGTCGGGCCAAATCGTGGTTTTGGATCCGGACACTCAAATTTTATACCCATATTCGGACTTGAGGTCAAGTCTACCCACCGGGTCTTGAATCTGTTCGGGTCCATTGCCACCCTTAGTCGGGTGGGGGGAGAGAGAGAGGGAATGAAAATTGCATTTTGTCAAAAAAAAAAATGGTTTTATTATTTAACTGGAGGTATATACAAGAATAAATAGTGTTAGAGTTTAAGGTACAATACAAAAAATATTGAGAGCTAAGATGTGTAAAAAGTTGAAATTTGAAAGTATCCATAATTTTCCCACTAGTTTTTTGGGTGCATGTTCTGGGTCACCAATTTGTTTTTAAATCACTTATCTATATGGGTGCATTTAGTATACGAATGCATCCGTGGGTGTAGAGGTAAGGTGCACGTTCAAATTTTATTGTGGTACATAATTTTGATGTAAAATGTTCTTAGGATTATCTCAAAATCTATTTTTATATCTAATTATAAAATTTTAAATTTCAAAAATGGTTAAAATCAAATAGATCTATAAACATATGAAAATATTGAAAATGGACGGTGAGATAATATGTTATAAAATGCACTATTTCTTAGACTTAAATTCTTTTTATTTTTCATAGTCATACATGATCAATCAAAAGGTTTTTCAATATTAAAACTACCGGACAGATTTTGAAGGGCATCCATAGTTCTACATTATGAGGTTGCATCCTTATATAAATTTTTTCGTATATGGATAAAGGTATGTATCGAGAGATTTTAGTGGTCTCCGTTCTCCTGATTAGAGAAAGGAGGGACAATTTGTTCATAAAAAAAAAGTTAGTACATTTAGACATTTTGAGGTATGCCCTCAATGATAGGTCAATAAGAGGGTTGGACCATCGCTTTCTTGGTCTTACTCTGTACTGCAAAGCCCTCACACGAAGCTTCCAAAATGGCGCGTGCTTCGTAAGCGTTAGTGAGCATTTAGTTGGTGGCACACGTATGACAGCTGTTTCGTTATGGCAGTTGCGCAAGGGAAACGCGTGGGAAATCTTTCCTTAAATGTTTGTAAGTCTTTATTATGAAAAGCTTTTGGGGACCACTTATTTAGCGTTTTACAAAACATTAAATATATAAGAAGGGCACTGCCCACTGGGTTCGGTAACTTGGACCCGGATGCCAGTCGGCTCTTGAGTTTGGGTCTGGGTTTGGGTCTTTTATCTGGGTCTTCTATATATTTTTGGATCTTAATTTATAAAAAATAGTTAAATGTATTTAAATGCATATGTATTTAAATTTTTGGGTCAATTTGGATCCCACAGTATATTTTTTGGTCCAGGGATCCCATAATACCTTTTCGGGTCCCGGTTTGGCCGGACATCGTTCCTACCCGACCCGTTCCTACCGGACCCGTTGCCACCCTTACCACTAATTGACCGTTGCCCATAGATTTATACTTCCGTAGGAGTACACTGTCTAGTTACTCCCTCAAGTAGAACCTGTTATAGGAGTAATCTTGGAACCTGAAATTTGAGGTATGTAACATCTTCACTACGCAAACTAACTTCAATAAAAACATCTTCAACCTGTGGAGGAACTTCAAAAAAAAAAAATCTGAATTGATCTCTTTATATACTAAAAATAATAATGTCTCGAAATTGAATAGGGACCGCCAAATTTATGAGGGGCAGGATCTTATTGACAAAAAAATCGAAATTTATTTTTCCTTTATTCTAAAATTAATTATCCAGGAGTGAAAATGGATGCACATGTCATCACAAGGGTTTCTAGTGCTGAAGCTGCTTTCTTCATAGGATTTCTAGGTTCAGCTTTATCGAATATCCTGGGGCCGCAGTCCCACAAAAACATCAGCCTTTAAGTGACTTTTTTACTGGAAAAGGACGGGAATGATAGCACCTTTTGCATTTCATAGTCGTTCACAATATCTCTCTCTTTATCGATACATGGAATGTGGCCTTCTCATCTCATTGCCTACGAAGCTGCACAAAAAAAAGCCTTGGCATTGTGGACCCTCATATCTTGGAAAGGATATAGTGGGGTGTTGGCATCTAGTTCATGTTGAATGCTTAGGCACTAATGTCCAAGCCCAAAAATAATTCCTCAATTGAAAAGTTAGAAGGTTTTATACTCTTGCGGGACTATGCTATCTGCTTGGGTAATAATCAATATAAGAGTAACTTTAGTACTCCAAATTTTGAGGATGTAGCCTTACGACCATACACTAACCTTAGTGAATTTCCAAATTGAAATCTCAGAGAAAAACATACTAACAATGTCTCAAGATTGAACATAGGCTATCAGTTTTTAAAGGGCAAGATTTAAGTATCAGAAAACTCAAAATTCAATTGTTCTTTTCGAAAATAATCATCTAGTGATGATTATTCGGTCCCCAAAATTTCAGGATGAAAAAATCCTCCTAAGTAGGCCTTTCGGTGACGGAGTAGATGCACAATATGCTCCTACGGGAGCATAATATACATGCTCATAGTTTATCTCAAATGTCATTAATGTAAATAAGATTAAAGAAAAATGATTTGGTTGCAAAGTTTAAATTTAAATATATGGGGATGAAAATACATTTCATTTCCAATCCAAATTTTCATATACATGGGAGAATAAGCAAGAATTTGATTTTAATCTTCAAATTGCATCTCCTTTCCCTCCAATTTTTCTAAATAATCTCACTATGTAAACTCTTTCAGATATGTTTTCTTAAATAGGCACTTTAGTTAAGAATCTATCATTGAAAATTCCTCAACCATTATATATATCCAACATTGGTTGGCCAAAACCCCTTTAAATATTCAAAATTAATTTTAATAAAAATAAACTAGAGAGAAAGAACAAAATGCAAGAGCGACATAAAAAAGTAAAAATAATGGAAAGTATACAATGTGACTATTTATCTTCGACACAAGGAGGTCGCTACTAATTAATCTAAACCATTGCATGTAAAATTGGGTGGCTACATTTATTCTATTGACTAAACTCAAATTTTAAAAGAAATTTTCTTGAACTTCATGACACACCCAGGCTATTAGATTTCACATCAGATGGTTATTAGTAATTGTGACCTCCTTGTATCAAAAGTAAACAGTCTCATTGTATATAATCCTAAAATTAATAACAACTTTAAAAAATTTCAAAGAAATCACTAAGCTAGTGGGGGTTTGTGCAGTCAACAATATTTTATATTAATTATGGAAGATTAACCACGGTTAGGAATTTAGTGATTGAATTATAATTATCATATATTTTTCTTCATCTTTTCATGCACAATGGAAATTCAATATAAATTATATCATATACATCATCAACATCAACATCATTAAAGTATTTTCCCAACTACTTGGAGTCGGCTATTGATTCATGTACTATTTTTGACCCAAGAGCACTGCAAATTTGTATTTCTCTTGCATTCCTCAAGGAGGTTATTTTTTATGCTTGGATACAATTTAAAATCTTTCTCTCATGTCATCTCTCTTAACCTTGGTTGAATGTAATCGCAATGGTCTTCTCTATCTACAAGCTTCTTTCTTACCATAGAGCCCAAACTAGGGCAGGAAGGAAGACAATCCAAAGTGCAACTAAAAACTTGTTGTTGAACTTCTTTTAAAATCACTTTGTGAGGAGGCATGAGATTGGTGGCTTCTTTTTTTTTTTTTCTTTTTTTTTTTTTTTTTGGGAAGTACACATGAATACCATGAGACTCTAGAATTTGTGGCTTTTCTTGTATTACCTCTTCTTCTTTCTCTCTTTTTTCAACCTAATGCTCACAAATTACTTCACATGAGCTTTTTGAGGTGATTTCTCCATGGTCATCAGGCACTCATGTGGTGTCTTCCTCACTTATCAATAGGAAGAGTCTGCTAGGGTTAGCCTCTAAGCTTGAATTACTTTTCTGCAACTTTAGGTGGGGTAGTCTCCATATGCTCTTTTCTCAACACGAAAGGAATCTATGTAAGAACGGAATTAGATCTAAGAAAAATGAAAAAGGTTATACATTAACATTTCATTCAGATTAAATTTTTAGAATTTTAATTTTATTAACTTCTCAACTGAAGGCTTGTGCAATGCTACGTCACTAACTAGTTCATATCAAAAAAAAGTATTTGGTGAGTCAGCCGACTCATGGATCTACCCTAGTTGTCAAGCGATTTAGGACCTGAAACACATCCTAAATATTTACGAAGCTACTTTTGTTGGAGATGCATGAATGTGTATCTCCAAAATAGTGCAAACTTTGAAGGATTAAAAAGAATGATCCAAAAAGGAGTACAGAGGCTCTAAACTCAATTTTTTTTGTAGCCGTGATCCTGATGGTCAAGATGATAGACCCATAAATATAAGAATCCAAAATCCATCTCAACATAGGAATCAAGCATGGGCTTAAATCGTTACCAACTGACATTTAGCTACATCTCAAGTTCAATTACTACCGTTGAACTACCAAAAAAAAGGGAATCCATCTCAACATGGATTTGGAGATGGTACTGTAACAAACCCCACCCTTATACAAATACATACACAATAAGATCATTTACTTTCTGTATTAGGAAGTTATAATCACTATTGACCCTTA